GGCCCCGAGACGCTCCGAGAATGCGGCGCATGATGGAGAGCCAGTGCGTTTTCCACTGCTTTTTGTTCGCCGCTGGGTTCGCTCCCGTGATGCCCCACGGTGGCCTCCGGACCGCCCCCAGGCGCCCCCAAGGGCCGTCCAGGACATCGGCGGGGGGGGCTCCCGAATGCCGACGAGTGCCCAGGCCAAGGACTTCTGTCGGTGCCCGGGCACGCTCCAGCTCGACCCCCCTTGGGCCAATCCTCAGCCACGCGCAGAGGGGGGTGGGGGGAGGGGGGAGGGGCTTCTTAGAAGCACCCCTGCTTCTCAGAGGGCGCGGGCCTTACCTGTAGATGTAAGGCGCCCTCTGAGAATGCAGCCTCCTTCTAAGAGGCCCCCTCCCCTCCCCCCACCCCCTTGCGCGCGCCGCCAAGGGAGGAGGAGGAGGAGGAGGAGGAGGAGGAGGAGGAGGAGGAGGAGGAGGAGGAGGAGAAGGGGAGGAGGAGAGGGAGAGGAGAGGAAGGGGAAGGTAGGAGGAAGGAGAGGAGGAAGGGAGGTGGAGGGTAAGGGAGGAGGGAGGAGGAGGAGGCACTGTCCAAGCGGCATCCAGGCGTGGCGGTGGGTCGGGCGGGGCCAGGACCGTGAGGTGTCCCTCCGGGAGCGCCGCGGAGCGCTCTCGGAGCGCTCCGCGGCGCTCCGAGGTGGCCGCGGGGCCCGCTGCACCCCCCGGAGCCGCCAGACCTAGAAGATCCTCGATGCATCCTCGTCCTCGCGCTGGCTTCGCCCTCGTCCTCGTCCTCGCCCTCGGTGCGATGCTGTCCTCGTCCTCGCCCTCGCCCCCGTCCTCGCCTCGTCCTGTCCTCGTCCGCGTCCTCGCCCTCGGTACGATGTTGTCCTCGTCCTCGCCCTCGCCCGTGCCCCAGCTCGCTCTCCGCGGAGGTCCTGGCGGCCACAGGGCCAGCAAGGGCAGAGCGTTGCAAAGAGCCTCGATCTTCAATCCTCGATCTTCTTCTTTTCCTCCTCCTCTCCCTCCTCCTTCTCCTCCTCCTCCTCCTCCTCCTCCTCCTCCTCCTCCTCCCCCTCCTCCTCCTCCTTTTGAGACCTCCGTGGACCTTGGGAGAGCTCTGGGGGACCTCCAGGGGACCTTCTGAGACCTCCTCTTTCTTTCTTCTTCTTTCGCGCGCGACGACGTCGACGACGACGACGACGGCGACGCCGCCGCCGCTATTGACGACGACGACGACGACGACGGCGGCGACGACGACGACGACGATGACAAGGATAACGCCCACGACGGCGACGGTGGCGGCGACGACGACGACATGTTCTGGCGTTCCGACGCGTCCCGGCGTTCGCATGGCGCTGTTGTGCATGCTGGAGCAATCGTCCCGACTCCTACTCGCGCCGACGCAGCCCAACCCGATGCGCATTCGGTCAGTCACATCCAGTTTACCGGTTTTGTGCTGACTGATTCTGCCCTCTGGGAGGGGGAGGAGAAGGAGGAGCAGGAGGAGGGGGAGGAGGGATCATATGCTACAATCTTAGGATTAGAGTCCGCTCAACGTCAACAAAAAGGAGACGGAGGAAGAGGAGGAGGGGGAGGAGGAGGAGGAGGAGGAGGGGGAGGGGGAGGAGATGGGGGAGGAGGAGGGGGTGGTGGAGCAGGAGCAGCAGCAGGAAGAGGATAGGGAGGAAGAGGAGCAGGAGGATGAGGATGATGATGATGATGATGATAGGATATGATGAGATGATGATGATGATATGAGATGATGATGGGATGATGATGATGATTATGATGAGATGATGATATGAGGTATTATGATGATGATGATGATGCTGATGATGATGATGATGATGATGAAGATTATGATGAATGATGATGATGATGATGATGATGATGATGATGAAATGATGATATGATTACGATGATGATGACTGATGATGGATTGATGAGATGATGATGATGATGATGATGATGATGATGAGGAGGGACGAGGAGGAGGGAGGAGGAAGGCGGAGGTAGGGGAGAGGCAGGAGGAGGAGGAGGAAGAGGAGGACGAGGAGGGAGGAGGAGGAAGTAGTAGGAGGAGTATGAGGAGGAGAAGGAGGAGGAGGAGGAGGAGGGAGTTGGTGGAGCAGGGGGGCTGATCCGAGGCGCCTTCCGATCGGGTCCGATTTCCCGATTCGATGCTGACTGGTCCTGTAGATGTTTTTGTTTTCGGGCCATAACTCGGGTCCGGCGGCCGTTCGGGACGATCTGGGTACCCCCAGAACGCAGTCGGCAAGGTGCAGCCGCTGGAAGGCGTCCCGAGGCTTGACAGCAGACGAGAACCGACGAAAATTTCCAAGAATCTGACTTATTTCCTGGTTCGACTCCGATCCGATCCGATTCGCCAAGGACTTCTACCAGTGCCCGGGGCCGCTTCAGTTCGACCACGCCTGCCCGTTCAGCCTGGCGCTGCCCGTCACGCTGGCCCTGGAGCTCGGCGGCAAGACGGAGCCGCTGCCGGCGGCGAAGCAGGAATATTGGGGGTCGTCGATTTCGTCGAGGTCGTCGTCGAGGTCGTCGTCGCCGTCGCCGTCGTCGCCGTCGCTGTCGCCGTCGCCGTCGTCGTCGCCGTCGTCGTCGTCGTCGTCGTCGTCGTCGTCGTCGTCGTCGTCGTCCTTGTCGTCGTCGCCGCCGTGTGGATGGGCCAGTCCCCCGCGACCGGCTCTCGGGAGTTCGCGGAGGCTCTCGAGATCCCTCCTGGGGGGTGCTGCCTGGCCGGGAGCGCTTCATGGGGTGCCAGGCTTCGCCGGCCGAGTCTGCCGACCCGGGCCGGAGAAGCGACGTGCGCGGCGGTGCCGCTGCGGGCCGCCTTCGCGCTGCCGGGGCGGTGTGGAGGCGTGCTGGACAGACACGCTGCTGAGAGACAACAGGGGGTCACCGGGCCTGTTGTCGTCGAGGTCGCTGTCGTCGTCGTCGTCGTCGTCGTCGTCGTCGTCGTTGCCGTCGTCGTCGCCGTCGTCGTCGTCGTCGTCGTCGTCGTCGTCGTCGTCGTCGTCGTCGTCGTCGTCACAGGAGACGACCAACTATGGCGGCTTCCTGTACTGCCCCCGCCCCATCGAGCAGCGCTCGCCCCTGCAGCGGTGGGGGGGTGTGTCGAGGGAAGCAGCATCGGCACCAGGCACAGGCATCGATCTTCGATCTTCGATTCTTCTGCTCCTCCTTGTTCTCCTCCTCCTCCTCCTCCTCCTCCTCCTCCTCCTCCTCCTCCTCCTCCATGTTCTCCTCCTCCTCCTCCTCCTCCTTTGCTCTCCCTTCTCCTCCTCCTCCTCCTCCTCCTCCTCCTCCTCCTCCTCCTCTTCCTCCCCCCCGCTCCTCCCCCTTTCTCCCCCTCCTCATCATCTCCCCTTCCTTTCCTCCTTCTCCTCCCCCTTCGCCTCCTCCTGCTCAGTCTTTCCTCCTCTCGCTCTGCTTTCCTCTCTCTCTCTCTCTCTCGCTCTCTCCCTCTCAAGGAAAGGGTCGAATAAAAGGCACCGGCGCGAGCACAAGCTTCAGGAGGTGCATGCGCGGATTTCTCGGATCGGCGCCGCACCCCCCTCGGGCGCAGCGACAGGGGAGGATAGAGGGGTGGCTGCCCCAGGGAGTGAACCATCGACCTCCAAGCGCCTCCCCCCCCGCCTGGGAACGAGCCCTCCATCGCTCCTCCTCCTCCTCCTCCTCCTTCTCCTCCTCTGCTCTCCTCCTTCTCCTCCTCATCCTTCTCCTCCTCCTCCTCCTCCTCTCTTCTCTCATCGCTCCTCCTCCCTGCCCTCCTGCCTCCTCCTCCTCCATCCTCCTCCTCCTCCTCCCGCTCCTCCTCCACTCCTCCTTGCTCCTCCTCCTCCTCCTCCTCCTACCTCGTCCTCCTCCTCCTCCTCCCCCCTCCCCCACCTCGCTCCTCCTCCTCCTCCTCCTCCTTCTCCTCCTTCTCCTCCTCCTCCTCCTCCCTCCCTCGCTCCTCCTCCTCCTCAATCCTCCGCTATCCCCTGCTCCGTCCTCCCCCTACTCCCTCTCGCTCCTCCTCGCTCCCTCCGCCTCCTCCTCCTCCTCCTCCTCCTTCTTCTCCTCCTCCTCCTCCTCCATCCTCCCTTTCTCCTCCTCCGTCCTTCATCACCTCCTCCCCTTCTCCTCCCTCCTCTCCTCCTCCTCCTCCTCCCCTCCTCCTCCTCCTCCTCCTCCTCCTCCTCCCCTTTCTCTACGCGCTGGCCGAGGCAGCAGGGCGCGCACCATCGGCGGCGGCGGGCTGGGGTTCGCTGTACGTGGGTTCGCGGGTTGAGGGGGGCGGCCCTAACGAGCTGTTGCTAAAGTTCCTGCTGCCCCTGTTTATTAGTAGAGGCGGAGGCTGGCAACGAGATGAAGACGCACTAACATCGACGACGTGGGGAGAAGCCTCGTGGAGGCGAACCTCTCGGTCGGCCAGCAGACCTCCGAACACCAAGGGGAAGAAGGCCGCGCAGTACATAGTGTGTCCTAATTGCCCTATGGGCAGTGGCAACTGGATTTGTTGCAATCGGTCAGGCAAACCTGGATGGACCAACTGTACGACCTGTGGACATGAGTGGAAGGCTACCAGCACGGCCGCGGAGGCAGAGGGGGCGGCCAACCCACATGCTGGAGTTGCTCAGGAAGCGGTACGTCCAGACCAGCGAGCAGAACGACCAAGCCAAATTTGACGAGATCCTTGCAGCCTGTCCCGCAGCAAAGCCACGAGTACCAGCTGAACCAGTCGAACCTTCCATGGGCCAGAAGCTTCAGCATGTAGTGGCCGAGCTCAACCGCCTCTAGAAGTACCAGGACAAGCTGGCCAAACAGCTCAAGCGCGCCACCGAGTACCGCAATGACGTGCTCCACAAGGTCAGCGAGAACGTGGCAGTACTGGCAGAGGCCAAGTGGGTCTACCGGGAAGCCAAGGCAGAAGTTGGTGGAGCTTGTGCTGGCGCAGCAGAGCCAGCTAAGAAGAACGACGACGCCGAGCAAGACTTCCCCACGCTGTCGGAACAAGAGCTGGCAATGTTGGGTGATAACCAGAAGGAAGAGCATGCAACTATCCAGGCTGCATTCATTCCAGCAGGCCAATCAGTACATCACGGCAAAGAAGGAGACGGTCCAACATGCGAAGAAGGCACGCGAGGCTGCCAAGCGCACCCAGACCACAGCAAAGGCTTGCAAGAGGCGCAAGGGCGACGGCGGGGACCTCGTGGACAAGAAGGAGCCAGCAGGTGAGCCCGCAGATGTCGCAGCTGCTGAAGATGGTGCTGCACCGCCAGCTGATCCTTAAGGCCAGCTCGCCAGCCAGTTCGACCTCACCAACGACGAGCAGAAACAGTCCTGCCTTGCACAGCTGGCGCGCGTCAAAGTCAGAGCCAAGGTCGCAGTGGCAGCGCGACAGGCGCCTCCTGCAACTTCGGAGTCAACCCGACGCAGTGGCAGGGTAGCTGGTGCCAGACCGACGCCTTCAGCGATGCCAGCCACGACTACCTCGTAGTCTCAGGGCCTGCTGGGAAGGGGGGTGAGCCAAGGGAGGCTCTTACAGGCAAGCCCCAACTCGCGGCGGCCCTTCTCCGAGGGCTAACCCTGCAACCCAAGCGGAGCTAGCAGAAGACGGTCTGGATCGACGGTGGGATTGACTACATCACCGAGAGGATCTCTACTCAGACAGGTGACCACAACGGCGCGGAACATATCGACGAAGTGAAGCCCATCGTCAGGATTGTCGTGGCCGACTGCACGCCGTGTAACGAGGCCGCCAAGAAGTTTATGGAGGGCGCGAGAGGGAAGGGGCGCGACCTGATCGCCTTCAACGAGCACCACCTTCGAGGGCCAGCGGCGGAGATAGAGGCCAACAGGCTCATGCAATGCGGTTGGCGGTCCCACGGCGCGTGGACTCCAGCGAGGCAGTCGCCGCGCTCGAAGAAGGGCACCTTGGGGGGCGCATGCGTACTCAGGCGGAGGCATCTTGACGCGCGCAATCACATGCCGGACGCGCGAGGCCACGGCATCTTCGCCATGGGCTTCCACGCCATTGCAGTGGTCATGTGCAGGCCCAAGGGCCAGCATGTAGCTTTCATCGCCGTGTACCTCGCCGCCTCGATCGGGTTCGCGGGCGAGAGCATTCGCAAGATGAAGCACCTTTGGCAGATCGCGCGCAGTCTGGGTAATGCTCCGTGGACTATTTCCGGGGTTTCAACGGCGCGCCACAGGAGCTTAAGGCGACGCCATGATTGAAGCTCTTCGGTGGCACAGTTGTGTCGGGGGTGGACAGAACCCCCAACAGTGACACGTCGAATAGCGAATTGTCCGTTTTCGGTTCTCGAGAGGGCGCCGTGGCCGTTATTTTCCAGGCTTGCGCCCGCCAGGTTTGGGCCTCAGGTCGTTTTCACTAAACCACGTTTCACTAAAGGGGGGTCTGTCCATCCCCGATTGTGGTGCCCCAGCGAGTGAGCTTTACGTGCGGCGGTGGATCGGGCCGAGTATTTTTTTTTTTTTTTTTTTTTTTTTCTTTCTCTCTCTCTCTCTCTATATATCTATATATATACATATACACATACATACACACATATATATATGTATATATATAAATATAGTTATATATTTACAGTTCTGTATATTGATACTCTGACCGTCGTCGTACTCGTCCGGGGGGCCCAAGAGGCTTGCAGGGTGCTTTTCGGAAGCAGTTTTGACCCCTTTTGGGAGCTGTTTTAGCGTCTCTTGGGTTTTTTTGGGGGCCTCCTTGGAAGCTGGGGCCTCTGTGGGGGGTCCTTGTTGCCTCTCAGGGGCCGTTTTGCTCCCCCCCCCCTCTCTCTATTTTTTTGGGGGGGTTCTTCTGACCCTGTTCGAGGTCCTCTTGTGGCCCTCTTGGGCCCTCCTGGAGGCATCTTGGGCCGAGGAGGACTCCTTCCTCCTCTTCCTTCCTCCTCCTCCTTCCTCCTCCTCCCTCCTCCACCCTCCTCCCTCCTCGTCCTCCTCCTGCTTCGTCCCCCTTCCTTCCCACCCCTACCCTCGACAACATCTGGCTCCCCCCGCCCCGCCCACCCCTCCTCCCCACTGGCGTGCGTGCAGGCACGGCAACAGCGGCAGCGACGATGACGACGACAGAGGAGGAGGAGGAGGCTTCCTCTTATTGCTGCCACCCGTCTGAGGGCGGCCCCTCCGCACCCCTCCCCGTTCCCCCTCGGACAGGTGGATCATAGCAGCGGGTCTAGCTGTGGCTGTGCAGCGCTGTGCGTTTCTCGTTTAGTGTTGCTCCCATTCCGGTGTTCGATCAATGTCCGAGGCGGGGATTCATCCATAACCACCGTCTGGGGGATAGCTCTTTGCGGGCCTCACAGGCGGTGGACATGGGTGTATCCCCGCCTCACGCAATTGGTGCACTTTGCAGAGCTGCGTCTACGGGAGGAGGAGTCGGAAAGGGAACAACGAGGATGACGAAGGGGAACGCGAGACGGGAAACGAGGGATGGGGGGAGGAAGCGGGCGGCGGAGGGGGGCGGAGGACGGATAACTACGGAGGTGAATCGAAGAGGACGGGGAAGGATGAGGATGAACATGAGGAGGGCGATGAAGAGGATGAGGAGGATGAGGATGAGGAGGAGGAGGAGGGAGTACCAGACGCTCATGTATGACCAACTGTAAAAAGATAATGAGGAGGAGGATGAGGAGGACCAGTGTAAACTCAAGACGCATCAACGATGTTGAAATACACGCTCCCTCCAAGATGTATCTTCATAGGCCCCGGCAAGGGATTATTACAACTGAGTGAACTGTCTCGTTTGGGGACAACCGTGTGAACATCTTGAAGCTTGCCAAGACACTATTCTCAATACTTCGACGCCACGAGTTAACCTGACTGTTACATTTTGGCGATCCTGAATCGTACCAGAACGCCATTCCTGGAATTTCAACACCGCGAAACAACGTAACTCTTGTGCCCTGACAATCCTGCATCGTTCCAAGCATCGTGTCTGTTACGTTAACCATGAGAACCAACGAAGCTCTTGCACATGTTACAAACGAATGTGCGCGGCGCTACGGCGAGAGCCACATTTTGAAAACCACCCGCCCTCAATACGTGAAACTCTTGCAAATTTGAAAAATGAATGTGCGTGGCGCGAAGGCGAGAGCCACATTCTGAGAACGACTTGCCATCAATCCGTGAAGCTCTTCCATTTTTTTGAAAACGAATTTGCGCGCCGTTAAGGCGAGAGCAACATGTTGAAAACGACTCGCCCTCAACCCGTGAAATGCTTGCAATTTTTGAAAGCGAATGTGCGCGGCGCGAAGGGCATAGCCACATTTTGGAAGCGATCCGCCTTCTATCTGTGAATGTGATGCCATTTTTCAGCATCAGGTTCATGAGTGGTGAGTAAGTTTCGGCCACAACGCCCGGCCCGCCCTTTCGACCAGCCTCGGGGTGCGACAGGGAGGAGTTATCTATGAGGAAAAATGATGGAGGAGGAGGAAGAGGAGGAGGAGAAGGAGGAGGAGGGCTAGGAGGAGGGGCAGGGGGAGGACGAGGAGGAGAACGAGGAGGAGGAGGAAGAGGGGGAGGGGGAAGGGGAGAAGGTCGATGAAGAGGAGGAGGAGGAGGAGGAGGAGGAGGTCAATGGTGGCGGTGGTGGTGATGATGATGACGACGGCGGCTGCAGCGACGACGACGATGACGATGACGATGGCAATGATGATGATGGTGATGATGATGATGCTGATGATGATGACGATGATGATGATGATGATGATGATGATGATGACGGTAATGGTGATGGTGATGGTGATGGTGATGATGCTGATGATGATGATGATGATGATGATGATGATACTGTGAATAATGCTGACGATGATGGTGATAATGACGGTGATGGTAATGGTGATGGTGACGGTGTTGTTGATGATGATGATGATGTTGATGACGGTAGTCATCGTCATGGTGATGGTGATGGTGAGGATTCTGAGGATGATGGCGATGACGACGATGCTGATGACGATGACTATGATGATGATGGTGCTGATGCTGTTGATGATGCTGGTGGTGACGATGATGCTGCTGTTTATGATGATTCTGAACACGATGATGACGATGATGTCGATGTTGACGATGATGATGAGCAGGATGATGATGACTATGGTGAAGGTGATGATGCGGATGATGCTGATTCTGATGCTGATGCTAATGATGAGGACGATGATGCTGATGATGATGGTGGTGATGCTGATGACGAGGAGAAGGATGATGCTGAGGAGGAGGAGAGTGGTGGTGGTGGTGGTGGTGATGAAGAAGAAGATGATGATGATGCTGATGATGATGTTGATGATGATGATGATGATGATGATGATGATGATGATGCTGATGCTGATGATGATGACGATGCTGATGACGATGATGGTGATGATGATGATGATGATGATGATGATGCTGATGCTGATGCTGATGCTGATGATGATGCTGATGCTGATGATGATAATGAGGATGATGACGAGGCGGAGGAGGGGGAAGAGGAGGAGGAGGAGGAGGAGGAGAAGCAGGATAAAACAAATGGCATATTGTGATGCGGAGGAGGATCATGACGAGGATGCGGAGGAGATGGGTGAGGCAGTTGCAGCCACGGGGGTCTTGTAGAGCGGAGGGGGAGGATTGTTGGGGCGAGGGATGATGATGATGATGATGATGATGATGATGATGATGATGATGATGATGATGATGATGATGATGATGATTGTGATGATGATGATGATGCTTTTGATGATGATGCTTATGATGATAATGATGATGATGATGCTGATGATGATGATGCTGATGATGATGATGGTCCTGCTGCTGCTGATGATGATTATGACAACGAATACGATGATAATGACGATGATGGTGATGCTGATGCTGATGCTGATGCTGATGATGCTTATGATGTTGATGATGCTGTTGGCGTTGATGATGGTGACGATGATTCTGATGATGATGATGATGATGATGATGATGCTGATGATAATGACGATGATGACG